CTGTGGTGACCTCTGAAATATAGTGACTAATCTGAAAGAAAATAAATGAATGTTCTGTTTGTGCTTCTGTCTTTATTTTTCATTAAATAACCAGAGGTTATTAGAGTTATTAGATTAGAGGTTACAGTATAAGAGGATCAAGATGTCATTTTAATATTATTGTGTGATTTGTTCGAAAAATAAGCGGATGTTGTGGAAACTTGTGAATAATTTTACTGCTCAAGCACACTGCTGCCTGCATGGTTGAATATATGCTGAAGTAGAAGTATTGTCATTCAGTGTAATGTTTTGTCATTCAGGTTGCTAGGCACTTCCAAAAAGTAATTGCAGACCAAATACAGTAGCTAAAGCGGCAAGGAAACAAGAAAGGTTTTGAGGATTGCAATTGTCAAAATAACAGCACACGGGTATTTCAGGATAGAAAGTCTCCTCTCCCTATATCAAAAATTCAAGAGAGGATTCAAGATTCTTCACCCAACGTATTCATCCTTATAATGTCATTTATGTCGGCAAACCCAACGCTACAGTTCCAGCAAGCACAATACTGAGCATCTTTAAATAATAGTTTTTAATGTGTAGTTAAATTATTTTTTAAAGTCCCCATGAAATCAAAACAAGTTTAAGATGTTTGTATCAGTATGTTAGTCTTAAGGATAACCTATTTATAATTTAGTGTGCTCTAAAACAGTGACAAAGATCACATTGAGAAGATAAGATAATAATCCAAAGCTTAAAGTTTGTCACTTCCCTCTACAGTTGAAGTCAGAATTATTAGACCCCTGTTGTTTTTTCCCTAATCTCTGTTTAATGGAGAGTAGATTATTTTAACACGTTTCTAACATAATAGTTTTATTAACTCATCTCTAATAACTGATGTTTTTTTTATCTTTGCCATGATGACAGTAAATAATATTTTACTAGATATTTTTTTAAAACACTTCTATACAGCTTAAAGTGACATTTAAAGGTTTGATTAGGTTAATTAGGTTAACTAGGCAGGTTAGGGTAATTAGGCAAGCTATTGTATAATGATGGTTTGTTCTGTAGACTATCTGAAAAAAATATAGCTCAAAGGGGCTAATAATTTTGACCTTAAAATGACATTTAAAAATTTTAAAACTGCTTTTATTCTCGTCTAAATTAAACAAATAAGACTTTCTCCAGAAGAAAAAATATTATCAGACATACTGTGAAAATTTCCTTGTTTTGTTAAACACCATTTAGGAAATATTTTAAAAAGAAAGGCGGGCTAATAAAACAAAGGCGGGCTAATAATTCTGGCTTCAACTGTAAATGGTTCAACAATTTTTTTGAGAACCTCATTTTTTAGTTTCTGTTTAAATCTTCTGACCAATCAAATTCTCCCTAGCATCTGACATGTCCTGTCCCTTTCAAGACACTTTTTATTTGATGCGCTTGGGCTCAACCACTCTCACTGGCAGAGCTGTGATTAAACAAAAAAATTGCTGTGTGGCTGTTTAAAAGTGGAGGAGCAACTCTATGCCCCACCCTGCCTTCATGTTTCAGTTGAAATTACATCACATATCAAAAACAATGCTCTTTTCAAAGCACTATAATGTCTATCGTTCAAACTATTGTTACACTGAAAGACATTTTAGTGGGAGTTTTCTGTAAATCATTGTAAAATTGTGTATGTTTTGCTCTTAATGTAAAGAATGCAAGAGTAAACATTCTAATATATATATAAAAAATCATACTTTTTATTATTTTGATGGTTAAAACATCTTTCTTCCTTAACTGAGTATATGTAAACTTTTATTAATTGCATTCTTAATTTACATATGCAGTATAATCTAATGGGTTTGACCAGATAAAAATACACTGTAAAAAATATCTATAAATTGAACGTTTTCCGTTCAAAATAATTTAACAATTGTTTAGGGTGTCTGTAGGTTCTTAAAATGTCTTTAATTTACTGAAATTTTGTGTTGTAGGTCTTCTATCACTTTAAACAGGTCTTAATTTTCCTGTCTATGTAAGGTTACCCAATCGGGCCAAAAAATTGCAAATAATCCTTTTAACAAAAGTTAAATATTTAACTCTGTTTACCAATATGGTGCAATTATCTTCTTCTTATCTTCTCTCCTATCTCCCATGTATTTTAGACAGATTGTTGTACATAAATTTAGTTTATTATAGTTTTTAAAAAAACGTATGTTTCAACTAGATTTTGCTTGTCTTGACACATTAAAAATATGTGATTAAGCAATAACCATTAAAAAATGTTTGGACAAGGCAAGTTAAAATATTTTTTATTGGCCCAACCATGCCATTAGAGAAAATCCTTAGTGTTTAGCCCTGTGTAAGTCACTAAAATGTCTTTCAGTTTGAAAAAATATCTGTAAATTGACAGTTTTATTTTATTATTATTTTTTTTGTTAATCATTTTTTTTTCACATATTTATGCTTTTGAATTGCATTATGGGATCTTGATCTGTCCTCCAAAAGCTTTTGATCTTGAAACATTTGAAAAAAGGGTATTTATTGACATTTTAGATAGTTTTGTATATTGTCTGGGTTGGTGTTGTAATTTACAGTACAAAAACCTGGTAAAAAGCTGCCTGTATATTTTCTGTTATTTTACAGACTTAGTTCTCTATATATTATATGCAATGTAAATAAAAAATCTCTTTAAAAGTGTCATTAAAAGTAATTTTGTTAAACTGTAAAGTTGTTTTATTTAACATGAAAAGTGGACAGAGGAGAGACTAAACTCTCATAATGCAATTCGCTATTGTAAATAAACAGAAAAAACTTGTGAATCACAAAATACGGAAAATGTTAGTTAAGATATTTTTTTACAGTGTATATTCACACAATATGGAGAGGTTTTACTATAATTTACTAAAATATATTTTTAAGACAGCTAGCCTGGGTTATAGCCATATTGTTTTCAGAATATACCAGACAGAATTTTGAAGTATTACATTTTTACTTTCAATTTCAGTGGGAGTCTGCTGCAAATCATTGTAAAATGGTGTATGTTTTTGCTCTGACTTAATAAAGGAAACTGTAAACATTCTGATGTGTATTAAATGTACACTTTCATTGTTCTGAGGCTTGAAACAACCTTCTGAGCTATACATAAAATGGAACTACTTGCATTCAAAATTCACATTTCTAATCCACAGGGAATGAGAAAAGGCTATATTCATACAATATGGAGAAAGGCTTTACTGTAAATAGTAGTTACTTCAATATTATTTTTAACACAGCTAGTTTGGGTGATTAATATTGTTTTCATACCTGACAGGATTTTGAAATAACTAATCTGAAAAATATTTTAGTGGGAGTCTTTACTGCAAATCATTGTAAAATGGTGTATTGTTTTGCTCTGTTTTAAAAATAAAAATAAAACCATAAACATTCTGATTTATTAAAAAAACACACTTTCATTGTTTTAATGCTTGAAAAATCTTTCGTCTTTGACCTATAAATACACATTTGTACTATTATTATTCATTATACACATTTCTAATCTACTGGAATGAGCAAATCTTTAAGAAATACTATATTCACACAATATGGAGAAAGTTTTTACTGTAAATACTAGTTTGTAAAAAATAAATTTTATGATTAGAGACCACATGAGAATACTAGGTTGCTGTTGGAAGTGATGCTGAGTGTGTGAGTCCTAATGCCCCAGTATAGTAAAAGGGACGCTATGGTCATAAAAAATCCCATGGCACTTTTTGTTGAGAATAGGGGTGTAACCCCAGTGTCCTGGCCAAATTTCCTTCATCTGCCTTTACCAATCATGGCCTCCCAATCAACCCATCCACAAAATTGGCTCTATTGCTGTCTCTCATCTCACCCTATAGCTGGTGTGGGGTGAGCGCACTGACGCCATTGTTCTGTGGCTGCCATCGCATCATCTAAGTTTATGCTGCACACTAGTGGTGGTGTGGAGAGACCCCCTTGTGGTTGTGAAGTGCTTTGGGTGTAGGGCTATACACGATAAATGAGCTATACAAAAAATATACATTTCATTACAATACATTACATTACATGATCGCCTGGGTGATAGCCATATTGTTTTCATAATAGACAGGATCTTAAAGTATATAACCTTGTAACTCTATATTTTAGTGCGAGTCTGCTGCAGATCATTGTAAATTGGTGTATTTTTCGCTCTGATGTATTAAAACACACACTTTTATTGTTTTAATGCTTGAAACATCTTTCGTCTTTGACACATCTTTACCATTTCCATTCATAATACATATTTCTAATCTACTGAAAATGAGCAAATCTACTAGAAATGCTATATTCACACAGTATTGAGAAAGGCTTTACTGTAAATATTAGTAAAATATAATTTTCATGACAGCTAGCCTGGGTGAACCTGATAACAATGATTTCTGTGTCGCTCACTGCCACCTTGAATAATTTGTTTTACACATTTAATCTGTTCGCAATTGAGTTGTAGGCGGTGGACTGTAGTAAGAAAACGAAGCTCCGCACACAAGAAAGCATTTTCTCTGAATTGCTTTAGGTGGGTCTCAGGTATCGTTGACAGTTGAGTAAATTTCCCCAGAGAAAATGTGAAGAGAAATTACACTTTTTTTTCCCCCCCTTCTTTTTTTTTAGGCATACCACACCAGCTCTTGCTATTGAAACTCTCAGCTGAACTTTTTTTGGAAGTGTGTGTGTCTCTAAAAACATTAATCTTTCAGCCTGACTTTAATCTCCTCAAAATGTTAGGCACATTACGCTTTAATAAAGTTTGACAGCAAAGTTTGACTCATGGTAGGCTTGGACGCTTTTGATGTGTAGTTGAATCACAAAAACCGAGTTATGGATAGCTTGAAAAATAACCGAATGTTCCCGGCTCACTCGAGCCCGAGAACTGATAGCGGTTGATGTGTCATAAAAACCAAATTTGTCATTTTGCCCACAAACTGCGTGAAGTAGTTCTTGTTGAATTCATCAAACAGATGATCGATACTGAATATGTTCTTTTCCCTCTGTTCTTACAGGAATGATTTACACTGCTGACTCTCTGGACTGTGAGGCTCAGGATTCCTATTGGCTAACTGTATATGCGACGGATCGAGGCGTTGTTCCGCTTTCTGCGTCTATTGAGGTGTTCATTCAGGTGGAGGATGTGAATGATAATGCACCTTTGACTTCTGAACCCATCTACCACTCGTATGTTATGGAGAACTCTCCTAAAGACGTGTCTGTGGTCCGTGTTCAAGCACAGGATCCGGATGTTACAGCTTCAGAAAGCCGTCTCACGTACCGAATCACTGCTGGAAATCCTCAGAACTTCTTTTCCATCGATTACAACACAGGTACTTTTTTTCATTTGAAAAATAAACCAAGAAACACTCAGAATTCAAAGAAAAAAAAAATTTGTGAAATGAATTGCGAGAGTTAGAGTAACAGGCAGTTTAATCATAGTTAATAAAGTTAATTCATTGCAATCTCACAGCATTTCGTAACTTGTTGATTTAGTGGCTAATTCGTATGAATTTGTACGATCTAATTTGTACAATTTAGTACGATTTGCTTATCACCCAATGATGGTTGGGGTTAGGGGTGGGATTATGTCCATGCCTTCTTTTTAAAATTTTACTTTTTGTACGGCTGAATTTGTATGAATTAGCCACTAAACTGACAAAAAGTAAAATACTTCCGTTTCTTCATGCAATCAGGCTGGTTAATCTGACATTTAAACTTTTTATAAAAATGATAATTTTATGTCTCATAGTCATACCTGTCAACCCTCCTGTTTTTCTTGAGATTCTCCCGCATTTTACAATTCTATCCAGCAATCATCCCATCAAGGTATTTGCCCGTATTTCTTCTGTATTTATTTTATATAGGCATGAAAACACTTATAAATAAATAAATAAATAAATAAATTAATAAATAAATAAATAAATAAATAAATAAATAAATAAATAAATAAATAAATAAATATATATATATATATATGGGATTTTCTTCCTATTTATTACAGATTATTATACATCCCTCCTATAATCCTCGAACAGTCCGTTCATGTAGCGGTACGTGACTGACACGCTATATAGTGATAAATAGACACGGTTCTACAAACAGATTCTGTACACGCGATTTGAAGTGGGGCAAAAGTGGACACTTTGGGTTTTGAACAGATATATACAAATAATAGTAATAATAATAATAATAATAATAATAATAATGTCAATCTTGGTGGGTTTTCTATAAATCACAACAAATTTTGTCTTAAATGAGCATGAACAGATGGAAAGCAATTATACATCTGTGCATTAATAAAGTGATACCTCTGTTTTTTAATGTGATCAAACAAAAAATCTAAATGAGAGATTTCTTCGCTGCCATTGAATCAGAATGTTTAAGTCATACTGTAAAGAAAAGATTAATGAGATTTGATAAGCTGATTCAAATTCTTTATAATAGCTATTCATATTAATAGGCTAAACTCTTTACTAATTCATTTGCAGTGTTTTCTAATGTATGCTATTTATTCTATCTCTTTTAAGTAATAATAATAAAAAACTTATTGCTGACCGTTTCAACTATTTATTTACAATTAAACCGCTTCGGATGTCCTGACTTTATGTCTCAGAGTTCTGAGTAAAACCTCATCATTTAGACTTTTTCACTTGTCACATGGTCTTAAATGGGGTCATTCAACTAATTGATTTTTTCAGTGGAATTGCAAATTTAAAGTTAGCGTATTACAAAAGAAGACCGTTTCAGTGATAAAATTCCTGTTTTTAGAAATATATGAATAAAAAAAAAAACTGTCATTTTCTATATTAGCTACATGTAAAATGTTTGAAGGTAAAAATGCAAGGTCAGAGGCATCGTCACATCAACAACACATACTGAGTTATATTTATAATCAGATTATAGTATTTTGAGAAACATTCTGATTTTGAGATAATGTACACTTGCACTAGCCAGAATCAGTACCAGATGGGTTTTGTCTATATTTTTAAACTATATATTTTTACGTTTGCACTGTGGCTGAAGCAAGATTCCAAATTTGTTTCATAAAAGTTAGAAAAATGTCACATATAGCATTTTTTTTTGGGAAATATTACTAAAATTTACCTGCAATATGGTAAAAAAAAATGTTTCTGTGTAAAAAATTACTTTTTGTTCAGTATAGGACTATAAATAGTTTAAAAAAAATTCAGCTACAGTAGGCAAATTAATTCCAAAGTAAAAGGTATCATAACAATACAATTAAGATATAAATTAAGATATACAATAAACGACCCATGAATTTTATATGATAAATGTGTTTAGCTTAAAAAAATATATATATATAAATAAGAATAATAAAGGCATCACGGTGGCTCAGCACTGTCGCCTCACAGCAAGAAGGTCACTGGTTCGAGTCCCGGCTGGGCCAGTTGGTTTACATGTTCTCCACAGGATGCTCCAGTTTCCCTCACAGTCCAAAGACATGTAATATAAGTGAATTGAGTAAACTGAATTGTTTGTAGTGTATGAGTGTTTCCCAGTACTGGGTTGCGGTTGATTGGACATCCCTGTGTAAAACATAAGTACATTTTTTCATTTATTTTTTATAAATAATTTAACATTTTAGTAAGTTATATTTATCAGAATATACTTCATAAATATATGTCACTACCTTTAATATAATTTCGATTTTTGTTTTATGAGAATATACTTCATATTTTAATATAAAAATGGGTAGACTTTATGAGATTACACTGCCTTAATGTATGCAATTTACAATCATATAATTTACAGTTTTTTAAATTAATTTATTTAATATAATTTATTTAAAGATTTGCAATGACAGAATAGTGGTATACTGTAGGTGTCTCATGTCATCGTATACAATAATATAGCTATAATATATATAAATACACAGATTTCCGCAGATTTTTAGCCCATCATTGAGTTTATTTATTTACTTGTGTAAATGTGTGTAAATATATATTTATTCAGTTTTCCATTAATTTCAGTAAGATTATTGACTAATATGAAAGTGTTTGTTTAATTTATTTACAATACTGTTGCTAAAGTAATATTTTCTGTCTTTTAGTAGAGATATTAAATAAGAATCTTGCTTTGTTTACCAAACAAGTGGATCTGGATGGATTTGCATGATGGATTTTTTCCTTTCATCATGTATTAAGTATTTAGTTACGATACTCCAAAAATAATTTCACATAAATCAGCAGATTTTTTACAAAGTTCTTAGCAGAAATAGCAAAAACTGTCCATAGATTCTGTCTGGCCCTATAAGTTTTTCCAAGGGTAAGATAATTGCTATCTGATTTATCCACATATTGACAGAAAGAATGTTAGGTTAAGACGATCATTTACATTTTTAATCTACAGCAGATCGAAAGCAACATTGCAAAAAATAAAATCATTCTATTTTCTATCAATTTTGCAAGTGGATCATCTTTGACCATCTTTTCCTGCGATGCAATTTCAATGCAATGTTCAAAACCTCCTCAATCCGGCCTCCTCTCGCTTTCACAAATACTTTCACAAGTACTGCTAAATGAACTGAGCAGCACAGGCTGTAATCTGCTTCGGTGTCAGGACATTCTAGTGTGAAGAGTTAACACACATGCAGAGTCCTGATCCCATAGCATGCTGGGTACTGCTGATTACACCGGGTGCTGCTTTTCCTTGTCATTTAAGAAGTGAGTCATGGGAGCTTATGTATGCAGCTGTAGTCAGTGAATTAATTAAACAAGGTTCGGTGCCAGCAGGAAAGCTTTTCATTCTACTATCGGCAAATCCCTCCAAGGCAGCGCGTGGCACCACGTATTTACACTGGAATACAGAGGTTTAAGCTCAATAAATCTAACTCAATATATATAATGAGATGTGAGCGAGCATGCGGATGAATTGATATGTAGAGCGGAGAGGGGAAATACTGTATTTCTCTGTCAAATATGAACTCTGTGTGAAAGCTAATGAATGAGGGTGAGCGGAGACAGGAGGAGGATGAAATGCATGAAAAACAAAAACTAAATTCTAATGAATGATCAAAGCTTAATTGGCACTAAATTTTCATGTTACATAGATAGTTCACACAAAAACTATTGTTCACTCATTATTTGCTCACCCTCAAGTGGTTTCACAGCTTTCTGAGTTTCTTTATTGTGTTGAACACTAAAGAACATTGACGTTTTATTGAACACTTCTAAATATCATCTTTTGTGTCTTCTATACCTGTAATGCAAGTCTTGTCGCATATCCAATTTTTAGGAACAACAAATAGTAACTTCTAGCTGATCATTTGGCATCAGAAGTAGCTTATATGAAAGGCAAAGGCCCCTAGATTACACTTATTTTACCAAAATAAAATATGATTATGTCTTAATCTTAGACTTGGCTTAGACAAAAGTCTTGTCACTTAATAGAAATAATGTACAATATAGATTATAAAGTCAGGGTGCAGTTTAAAAATAATTAATATTGTGTATGACTCATGAGCGTAGACGACTGCATCCATACATCTCTGCAATGACTTAAATATCTTATTAATAAAGTCATCTGGAATGGTAAAGAAAGCATTCTTGCAGGATTCCAAGAGTTCATCAAGTTTCTTTGGATTCATCTTCAATGCCTCCTCCATCTTACCCCAGACATGCTCAATAATGTTCATATCTTATGACTGGGCTGGCCAATCCTGGAGCACCTTGACCTTCTTTGCTTCTTTGCTTTCAGGCCCTCTCCTGTGATTTGTAATGTAATGGGCAGCACAAATGTCTTGATGCCTCAGGTTGTTGACATTGCCATAGACTCCCATATTGAATGTAACCCTAAACCATGTTTTTTCCTTCACCAAACTTGACTGATATCTATAAGAATCTTGGGTCCATGTGTGTTCCAATAGGTCTTCTGCAGCATTTGTGATGATTGGGATGCAGTCCAACTGTCATTTCATCTGAAAAAAAATTACTTTCTCCCACATTTCCAATTGATCAACTAGAAGTCTTTACAATGAAGTAATAAAGCATTAATTAATAAAGCATTAATTAATATTAAGAGTGATAAATAGCTACATTTCTTTCAGAAATAATGCTAAAATAAGTTTAAAAAACCACTGAACACTGTAAAAATGCTGGGTTCTACTAATTGATTTGTGTTGGGACAACATAAAGGAATTAAGTTAAATTATTAGTTTTTACAAATTTAAGTGGATTGAACATAAAACAATTAAGTCCCCCCCCAAAAAATCAAAAAGTGTGTTGTTTCAGCTGATTTTAAATAAATACTGTTGGTTAAACAAACAGCAAACATACTTTTTGAGTGAACTTCATTATAGCTTAGCTATGAA